CGATTTCACTGAGTTTAGGAAAATATGCAACAGTGTTCCAGGCTGAGCTAATAGCCATACAACAGTGTGCAAGAGAAATATTAAATCAGCAAGTATCAGGCAAAACTATTGCCATATACTCTAAAGGCAATTCTCTCACCAGAACTCAAATCACGACTGGTGAAAGACTGTCTAGAAGACCTGACAGAGCTAAGTAGTCAAAATAAGGTGACCTTAGCCTGGGTTCCGGGCCATGAGGGATATCAGGGCAACGAAAAGGCCGACGAATTGCCCGAGAAGGCTCAGATAAGGCCATGACAGGTCCCGAACCCTTCTGTGGAGTTACTAAGGCATTGGGCAATGCATCCATTAAACAATGGATGCAAAAAGAGTCTCAGGAATGGTGGAACAACTATACAAGACTGAGACAGTCCAAACAGTTCATCAAGGAACCATCGGCCAAGTTTACGAAAGACCTACTGGATCAAAAGCGTCAAATCGTTAGGATAACAGTAGGCCTTCTTACTGGACACTGTCGCCTCAAAAGGCACATGAGTGTCATAAATCCAGCAGAAGAAGCAACTTTGTGCAGGTTTTGTGAAGAAGAAGAGGAGAACCATCATTTCACGTCCTGTGCCAATGTGAAGGCCTGGCTGGAATGAGGTTTCTAACATTGGGCGAAGAAAAGCCAATTGCATGCAACTACATGCGGGAGCCACTGTCAAAGCTACTAAGTCTAATAAAAAAGACCAGGCTAGACGACATACTCTAAAACAAACGGAGTCCCACAATAGATTTGAAAAGGTCGCGGTGGACAAGGACAAGTAACGTCCAACTCCTAATCTAATCTATTCTCCCTTGGGAGCGTAGCAACGTTTTTTTGCTGCATACATTTGCTTGTAACACTGATTTCATTTCATCGTTCCATGGTGAACTGTAAATTTCTTTCCTAGATGTGTTAGTCTAGTGAAGAACAAAATCAAAAAATTATCTATCTACCGTACGTAGAAAGTAACACTGATCGAATTGGGAAAATCCTAAAAAAAAAGAATATCAGCACTGTCTACAAGCCAGCAAATAAAATAAGGAAATACCTCAAAACAGAGAAAGACCGCAGAGAGCCACTCACATCAGCAAGAATCTATAGAATTTCATGCACTAGTGGAAAAGTATACATACGACAAACAAAGAGATGCTATAGAAATACACAAACATGATGCGCAGGCGCGCTAAATTGACATAGGAATGCTGTAAATATACGCGCGAAATTTTAAAAACAAGTAAAAGCAATCTTTTTACGCGTTTCACTAATTAAAAAATAAAGGGGTTTTTAAAAAAATATTAATACAGTAAATAGGACATTCAAAATAATAAGTGTTTAAATAGTTTTTTAAATTTATATAACTGATATTTAAAAACCATTAATACAGTAAATGAGATTCAAAATAAGTGATTTAATTGTTTTTAATGTAATTAGTATGGTATTTCAAATTATTTTAACAAAACGAATGTTATTTTATATTTAATATTTTTACAGATAAACTTAGTGTTTCTTTAATCATATTTGTAGTAGACGAGTAGGTATAGATTAAAGTAGATGCATGTGTATATCCGACTAGGCCAATAATTATCATGTTTGTTTAGGAAAATAAATAAAACGCAAAAATATGGTGTACCTATATTTTTATTTTTAAGAAGCCTATAGTCTCAAATATCTCATAGGTAGATTTTATATACATAAAAATAATACAATTACTAAAAAAAAAATATTAAAAAACAGATGAGGCTATTATTAAAATAAATCAAAAAGAATAAAATTCAAGTTGTTTATAATAGATAAGTACTTAACTATACCTATGATGGGTGTCAAAACAATGGATAATTACTATACTATGGGTGATCAAAAATTTTGAAATTTGGTTTGAATTAATTTGAAACCTGGGCAATTTGTTAAATATGTATTCTTTAAGATATGTACATTATCGGTTTTGATTTTTTGAAGGATATTCTTCAATCTAACAAAAACTAAAATCAACGTTGCCCGACTGCAAGTTCTAGTAATAGGGTTATAAAAATATCACCCTCTTGCGCCTGCCTAAATTACGGCATTATAAGCAAACAGTAGCAGCTAATCGCAATACCCCTATAAATAAGAATGTTCACAAAAAGAAACTATGCCAAAATCTACGCTGAATACGGCAGAATTTGCTACTTTTTGTCTAAAAGAAATCTTAGGTCTAAATAAATTTGTTAATTTTTGCAGAACTCATGAAAATGCCTTCTTGGAATAAAAGTAAAATACAGCAATACATTTTTTTATACAATAAAAATCTACTTATCACGACGATTATTTTATAGAATTATTATCAAATTTAATTCGATTATATAGCACAAAGAGTAGACCGAATTTATCAATAATAATTGCACTCAAGACGCTATTTTTGACAAGCTTTATCTTTTGTTTTATTACACAGACAATCCAAGGCTAATGTGACTTAAAAAGAAGGATTTATTGCAATAAGTTTACCGAGGTTATTTTTATCAGTTACCTACCTAAATTTTGGTTCTAGAGTTTTTGTTGAGTTTTATCTAGCGTGGCGGTCGGTATTTGTGGATAATGCATTTTCACCACTGGTATTCATAGATAATTTTTAAGTTTTATGTTAATTTGTGTTTCAAAAAATGCTTTTAATATTTTAAAAATTCAACGACCGTACACGCCTTTAACCCTTTCAGCACCAGCCACTATTTTTACATGCTGTAAATAATCCCAGCAAGTTGGATTCGCTTATTACCAGCGAACGTACGGTGTACGTCTGCGTACCATATACCATTGAACGTACGACGTACGTTGAATGAATATACACTGAGATAACTAGCAAGAGTATTATATTGAAAGGTTTACGCTGAAAATTTAAACAATACATTTTATATAAATCTATTTATTTTAACTACGTAAGAAAAAAAAGTAAGATTTTTTTTTTAAATATAAATCAAAATCAGCATAAACCAAATAATTTATTTTCACGTATCAAAATTCTTAAAAAAGAAATTAACGAATCTGACTCTCTCGGTCAATTGAACAGTGTACTTTGTTGAAATTAAATAGTCCCTTTTGTCAAAATATTTCAATACCAAAATATTTTCTTTTGTGACACATGCTGTTTGATGTCTATTCAATGGAGAGTCTTAAATCTCTATTTGGACAAATCGTGCCAGTAAAAATGGTTTCCCTGTGTAGCAAGTACTCGGCGAGTCGTATACTATTATACCAATAATCTGTATAGAAAGAATAGCCTAAGTCCAGTAAATTCCGACCAAGGTATACTACTATTCTTTCTAATAATGACAGATCTGAGGCATTGGCATCCTGAAGGGAAAATTGTTGTTGTCTTAGTCCTATATAAATTTCAAAGCTGTACATATACCCGTCAGAAGTACAGAGAGCAAAAATTCTGATACCAAATCTAGTACGCTTTGACTTGATGTATTGTCGGAAATGTAACCGTCCTTTGAACAATATTAGCGAATAGTCTACTACGCCTTTTTTTATTAGATTGATAATTATTTTGAAATGTTTATTGCAAATTGTTTAAGAATGGCCTGATAAGACATAATCTATCATTTGGTACTAATGCATTTGGGTCAGCGAAACTAGAAAATTTTAAAATAGATAGAAATCGATTTCTTTATTATTATTATTACGATAATATGTTGATATTAGGACCTGTACTCCAATACATTGATAATTGTGACTTCTTATCAAGTCCCATATTTAGTAAATAACCAAAAACATTTTTCATCTCTTGTAGTGTTACATTATGCCATTGTAGCCCGTGAATTTTATAATTTAGCTGCGGCTTAATATTAAAATAAAATTCGGCTCTTAAATGTGTGCATCGCACAATAAAATTAAATATTTCTTCAGATAAAAACATATCTACAGACCTTGTAAACGATACGTCTTCATGTTGAAAACCTCTGTGTTTGGACAAGGAATTCCAAGAACTTCTGGAACTTGATTAGGAAGTCTATCTTTAATCGAATCACCTATGACATTCCACCCAGCCGGATTATTGTCTATAGTTGACGCGTTACTATAGTCTGACATATTTTCTGTCATCACTATCATTAAAACTTTCACATTCTTTACATTCACTAACAGAAAATGGGAATCTGAATCACTCGAGTTCATTTTAGATACTAAATAGTAAACGAAAAAAAAAAAAAGATCATAATAATCTTTATTAGTGGTGGCGTTGGTTTTTTGTCAAGAAAATTAGTTTGCATTATAAATCAAACTTTTATAAACATACTTATAGGTAGTTTTACCAAGCTCTTTGAGATGTACCTATACGGTTATTGCCATAAGCTAAGAATGTTAAATAAACATTAGTGTTAAACGATTTATTTAGTAAACGTTTTTTATCAAGTCATCAAGAAAGCACTGATAATTTTTATGTGTGTAATCCATAACTCAAGAGAAGGCAAACAAACATTGTCGGCTGTCTTCTCGATTAATTTTTACTTGACGTACGTCGTACGTCCAAGAGTATAGCTTACTGACGTACGTCCACTGGGGCTGAAAGGGTTAAGGCCTAGGCGCCGACGTGCGCCGCACGACCTTGCCCATATGAACGGCGCGTCCCTGTTTATAGCTTTACAATGCCACTAGCAAACATTTGGTAACTTATGAGGCAGTTCATTTTGCTCCCAACTCAATGATATATTATCGCCTGATATTATTGTGTCGTTATAAACTGGACCAACCTGTATACCTGACTATCTATTATGTGCCATAAATTTAGCACCTACTTTTAAAGAAATGAAATGCCCTTGAATTCGTTGTTACACTTTCTTTGAGTTCATTATAGAATATAAAATTGCCGAGATATTCCTACAAATAAATGTATAATTATTATTCGGAAAAACATCACGGCAAACCAGGTGGAAAGGAGTAGGAAGGATGTAACAATACGAACCATTTCAAGTGTAAAAATAGTTTATTCTACTAACAAATATTTTAACAGTACGTACCTGTTCATAAATTAATATTATGTACTTTTAAATTACGTATAAAAAAGTAGGTAGGCGTATTATTAGTGAATATTTATTTAAATTTTAAATGTGAAAATTCCTTCAAATAAATTATTGTGTAAATTCATTATTGGGTGCAATGTATAAACGGTTATATTTTGTACAGTTATTTGGTGGTTAATCAAGAATGTGACGCCTATGTGTTGTGGTCAATCGGCTGTTATATCGAGTATTAGACTTCTTTATATATGGTTAAAAACCTGTGAATTTAGTCAATCTTAGCCAGCAGTTGTAGTAATGTAGGTATTTTAAATAAAGTGACAATTTTTTTTTAATTTTCGAAAATCAGTTAATTTATTAATCAGTGAAAATGAAACAAAAACAAATTTTGTTGTTTGTGGTTCTGGCTACATGCTCGTCCGTGATTGCACAAGGTAAGTCCAAGACCGGTTTAATATAGGTACCTATTTTTGTTTAAAAACAAAGAAAACGTAGGTGGATCTGTAAAAAAGGAAAATAATTCGAGATTTTATTGTGTTCTTCTTTAGTTTGGATCTAAAAATTCCTACATTAATTTTTACCTTTGCGTTAAAACCAAAATTAAAAATAACTTAGTTTCAATCTAATAAGTATACCTAGTATTCAGGCAACACCTTTAGATTCAGACAGTTCACATATTTTTTTTAAACTAATAAAAAAAAATCATAATTTTTTTACATTAATAAGTACCTGTTTTTTTACGTGAAATGTCTATAACACTCCTTATATTTTGTGCTCGAAATGTGTGGTGTAAATTCAATTATTCTCAGAATAATAAACAAAATTGTTTTTCTCTTTAAGATTTTTTTATTTGAAAATATCTAAATTTTGCTAGAAATGCATACAAGAATAATTGAAATTTGAAAATTCATTAACATGATTCTATGTAGTTCTTGATTGGTGGAGTTTTCCCGGGGACCATTGTCTAATGAATAATAGTAATAATCCCTTTCTGCACAAGTATCAATAAAATTGTATGGAAAATACTGGAGAAATTATAATCATACAGGTTGGGCTAAAACTTCGTTATAATTCTATAAATTTTTGAACATATGATATTACCATTTTAACATGAAGGTTAATTATTTATCGATTAATTGGAATTTTTAAAAAATACTTCTTGTCAAAAACGGCGACAATACAACTAATGATACCCAACAAAAACAAGTTTGAGATAATGTGAAAAGACGGTTTTATCTTATAGCCCAAGCAATGAAGCTCTCAGAAGAGACGCTTTGAAAAATTTAGAATAAAGCTACACAATGGTATGTTGATCCAATTCGATGTTTTCTCCCGGGCTACCTTTCTGACTTTTTTAGGATTAAAAAAAAATCGAATTTTTGACAGCGTGTGCAAACAGCTCTGTGAAGCTGGCCACCCGAAATTCGAAAATTTTAGTTTTAAAAGCGGCATACGTTTGACCACCTATTGACCATGTTTGACCACCCACTAACTTTTTTTGACCACCCTCAGAAACCTAAATATTTAAAAAAATAATAAAGACCGAGTGCCCGGTTGTCCCCCGAAAGTTAATATTTTTTAAAACTGACTGCACCATAGAACTAACCAATTTTTGGCCATATTTGACCAACCCTTAGATTTTTTAACACCCCCTAAAATAATTTATAGGGGGTAAATTATAGAGAAACAAGAGTTCTGGGATGCATTTCAACTTTGAAAAATAGATCAATGGTCAAAAAGACACAATAGGATCCAAAAACGTTTAAAATTATATATCGCCGTTTGTTCGCTCCCTAAAATATCTTGAAATACCACAAAAGGGTTAAAAATTCAAAGAAAATATTTCCCAAATATCCATAAAGGTTTAAAATTATGTTTTGACGTTTGACCACCCCCAAAAATAATTTTAATGTTCCCTAGTAGGGTGAAAATTCGAAAAATAAAATTTGAAAATAGAATTTCCACTTGGAAAAAATGGCCAAAGGACATAAATTTACAATAAAGATCTATAACGATTAAGAATTATGTTTTGACGTTTGACCACCCCCTAAAATAATTTTAATATTTCTAAGTATTGTGAAAATTAAAAAAATAAAATTCGAAGATCGAATTTCGGCTTGAAAAAAATGGTCAAACGACATAAGTTTAAAATTAAGATCTATTACGATTTATAATTTGGTTTTAACGATTTAACGAATAATTTTAATGTTTCTAAGTATTGTGAAAATTCGAAAAATTAAATTTGAAAATCAAATTTCGGCATGGAAAAAATGGTCAAATGACATAAGTTTACAATAAAGATCTATAACGATTTAGAATTGTGTTTTGACGTTTAACCACCACCCCCTAAAATAATTTTAATGTTTCTAAGTATTTTGAAAATTCAAAAAATAAAATTCTATAATCGAATTTCGGCTTGGAAAAAATAGTCAAACGACATAAGCTTAAAATTAAGATCTATTACGATTAAAAATTGTGTTTTGACGTTTGACCACCCCTAAAATAATTTTAATGTTTCTAAGTATTGTGAAAATTCAAAAAATAAAATTCGACAATCGAATTTCGGCTTGGAAAAAATGGTCAAACGACATCAGTTTACAATAAAGATCCATAACCATTTAGAAATAGGTATTGACGTTTGAACACCCCCTAAAATAATTTTAATGTTCCCAACTAGTGTGAAACTTAGCAAAATAATAATAATAATAATTAAAATTATTTTAGGGGGTCAAAACATAATTTTAAACCTTTATGGATATTTATTATGTCCTTATGTCAATTAACTATTTTTTTTAACTAGAAATTGGATTGGGAAATATTTTATTTGAATTTTTAACCCCTCTGGGGCCTTTCAAGATATTTTAGGGAGTGATTAAACAGCGATACATCATTTTAAACGTTTTTGGGTCCTATTATGTCTTTCTGACCATTGATCTATCTTTCAAAGTTGAAATGCATCCCAGAACACTTGTTTTTCTATAATTTAAATAAAATTATTTTAAGGGATGTTAAAAAATCTAAGGGGTGGTCAAACATGGTCAAAAGTTGGTTAATCTTATGGTGCAGTCAGTTTTAAAAAATAATAACTTCGGGGGGCCAGCGGGCACTCGGTTATTAATATTTTTTTAAATAAATATTTCTGAGGGTGGTCAAAAAAAGTTAGTGGGTGGTCAAACATGGTCAAACTTATGCCGCTTTTAAAACTAAAATTTTCGAATTTCGGGGGGCCAGCTTCACAGAGCTACTGGATTGCACTTCTCCATGTTAAATTTTCTTAACAAGTTTGAAATTTATGTTTCCTGACTTAAGGTAATCTTTTTGTGATGTTGCATAATTTTAAGTCAAAGGCAGTTGGTAGTTTTACCTAATTCTGTAATTTTAATATTCATAGCTTCTTCCTTATGGTCATTATAAAATAGGAAACAATCGTCAACATACAAAGCTAAAATAATCATGCTGGAAGTAATAATTTTAAAATATATACAACTTTCATGATTTGATCTGTTAAAACCCAACTTTAACAGTACCTTATTAATTCTTTTGTTCCACCATCGAGCAGACTGCTTCAATCCATAGAGTGCCTTGTGAAGAAGGCATACTTTCTGTTCATAACCTGTAGGAAAATGAATTTGTTCCAGTAGAAGATCCCAAGGAATTGTTAGATTCTTAACTTTTATAAATTAGACAAGTTATATTTATTTTACTAATCAATAAAAAACAACTTTGATTATTTTACATAAACAATAAAGACCATAAGTAAATAAACTAGCTAGTGGATTAGGTGGTTTGATAACTTCCAACACAAACTATACTGGGGTTATCGTGGAAATGCCAAAAATGCGTGAAATTCTGTATGGTTTTCGATCCTCGAGGATTACAGGATTTACTGGAAGAAAAATTAGCGGTGTAGTCAGATTACTAAAGGATGAAGCCTTCATCTATAAACTCTGACATTTGGAATGTCTCTTCCTCGTCGTCATTCCAACATCCCCTCAAATATGCTAAAGTTTTAAAAGATAAGTCGCAACCTGCTTTAATTATTCGGCCAAAAGACAACAAACAGTTACTGAAACCAAAACATATGGCGTAATTTTAATCCAACCTTAGAGAATCTTCAGCTTTCTAAAGTAAAATCAGTTAAAGGTGGAGGACTATTAATTGGATGTCAGACTAGTTCTGACAATGAGAAGCTGAAACGAATTCTAGGATATTCTCGGGCGACTCATATTTAAAAATATTAAAAATATATCCAACAAAAAAGCAACCCAACATTTAGCAGTCAGTCATACAAGTCACTAAGGCGGTATATGAGCGTGCAATGAATTCAGGAAACCTATTGGTCGGTTATGATAGTTGCGTAGTATATGATGCTGTTGAACTATTCCGCTGTTAAAAATGCAATAAATTTTCTCATCCCTCGCGTAACTGCAATAAGGCTGTTTCCTGCACATGAATTGAAGGACGGTAAGTCTAGCGTCAAAAAATGCTCCAATTGTTCGAAACTAGCCAACAAGAATGTTGACAATAATCATGCGGTTTGGGAAAAAGAAAAATGTACAGCATATTCCCAGTAGTATAAAAAATTTAAAGATAAGTTATTTGTCACAATTCAGCAATAAAATATTTCGTATTCTCCCCCCGTACATGTTCCACAGGTAAAACCATATACTAAAATGAGCTCAAAAAGTTTATTTATTTTTTTATCAGGATATCAGAGGATTAAAAACAAAAACTAATCTGATATTTAATGCGATAGCTCAAAGCGATGGTAGCGTTTTTGTGATAACTGAAACTTGGCTTGACTCATCAGTCCATAATTCAGAATTATTTCTACTTAAATTGGAACCATATGTACTTTACTCTTGATTAAAATTCATATACAGCTTAAAAAAATTGATATCTGATCGTTGCATTTTAAGTTTTGGACCATGCAGGACTTTTTATCTAGAATAAATTTTTTCACAAAACCAATAACAAAAAAGTTTTCCATATGCAAGCTAGATAGTCCGGGAGCAATTGAAAGGGAATCATCACCACAATCACTTGAACCAAAATATCAATTTTTAGCATTGTTTTAATTTTTCACATATAAACACCTACTCTATCTCCTGGCTTATTATAGTCAGTAATAAAAGAAGAAATACACAAAACTAATACAATTATAATTAATTATAAATACAAGGAAATACAAAATATCTATTCATATTAATACGTTGGAAATAAGAGATTTGTAATAATATAAAATAGGTAATATATTTAATACATTATTTTTATTATATTTCTGGCTGCATCACTTAGGTCAATGAACAGTTTATAAAAAATGATGTTTTATTTCATATAATTACCATAACCATATAAATTATCTGTTTTATAAATATTAATGGGAATGTTACTAATTATTTCTTTTAATAAAATTGAATTTTTCATGGCCATGTAGGTTCCTGCCAACATAATTAAGGGCAATCCCAGCATTAATTATTAATTACCAATTTGTAAAAATGTCTAAAAATAAAACAGGAATAGTGTGCACATACCACATACAAAAATAGCGACTATTTTGGAAATTCTTAGTCATCAACAACATTATCCGATTACAACCATTATTTCGAATTTAAAATATAATTATACCAGCCAAGTGATGACGTACCAAAAGATTACGTGAAAATATGACGTCTCTTCTTTAACTTCTTTTTAATATCACAAATTCGACGTCAATGTGACGTCAATTTATTGTCATTATTGAATTAAGATTTATAATAAACGTGATTTCTATAAAATTTTATTGATAAATTTAAAATTAAACTAAACAAGTATTTTTGTAAACTCATGGTCTATTAATAAGTACTTAATCTAAAGACTATTCTACCGCTTTCCGTTCGGTCGAAGTTGAGAGGTACCTCGTCCAATTCATAGAATGTATCTGTATGCAACCCTCTCTTTGTTTGTGTAAAGACAATTGTACGTGTAATAATTCTATCTTTCTCCGTTCAGTGCAATGGGACGCCTATCTTTCTCGGTATTCAACTCTACCTGAAACGCGGGCTGGCCAAATTTGTCTGTATATTGTAACAACTATTGTGTTGATTGTAATTTCTTTGCAGATAATATTTTTATTTGTTACTTAGACGACGCACAGTGGCGCGGAGCGCCACTGTGCCACCCAAATTACTCTACGACTCACAGGATTGATCCGTTTTAGACGTACGTCACCTTAAAATGTTCGTCTTGAGTTTGCCTATCGACCCTTGTTCCTGGATTTTTGATTTCGAATTTTATTTTTCTGTAATTTGTGTCCAAAAATTTACTTTCATGGAAAAATGGCGATTTTGGGTGCAAAAGTCATCCTAGCGAACGCAACATTGAGTTTTTACAAAACTTTTTTGAAGGAAACTCTTCCTCTTGACAACCCCTACAACCCTGTGTACGTCAAATTGCGAGAGAAATTGAACGAAATTGAACGAAAAGTATCACTTAAGGAATATGTCCGAATTTTTACAGAATTTTTGGAAATTTTCCGAGATTCTGGAATTTGGCGATTTCCTGGCCAAATTAAATGGCCAAAAATATCCTCAAACATTCTGAGAAAATTTTTACGTATTGCTGGATTGATTACAAACACTTTTTATTGAAACAAATTTAGATTTTTGTTCCAATAGATTTTTGAGGAACAATTTCCTTTCGCATCAATAGTTTTGGATCACTATGGTCGTTTTTAGGCATGACGGCCAATTTTTCTCGCAATTTGACGTACACAGGGTTGTAGGGGTTGTCAAGAGGAAGAGTTTCCTTCAAAAAAGTTTTGTAAAAACTCAATGTTGCGTTCGCTAGGATGACTTTTGCACCCAAAATCGCCATTTTTCCATGAAAGTAAATTTTTGGACACAAATTACAGAAAAATAAAATTCGAAATCAAAAATCCCGGAACAAGGGTCGATAGGCAAACTCAAGACGAACATTTTAAGGTGACGCACGTCTAAAACGGATCAATTCTGTGAGTCGTAGAGTAATTTGGGTGGCACAGTGGCGCCCCGCGCCACTGTGCGACGGATTAGAAAGTTTTATTATTTATTGATTAACGCTTAAGGGTCATCTAGTGGAATAATTTTTTAAATAAATGATTAACTACATTTAAATTGATTTTATTTATATTCTAAGGTTAAATAGTAAAGGATTTTTATACATATAATTATTGATATACACTTGGTATCCGCACGAAAGCTTTGGTATATTTAAAGTAAGAAACTGATTTTTGGAAAGCGTTTTAATATACAGTGGTACATAATATAAAATATTTGTTTTTTTAAACAAAATCGCATCGATCTCACAATTAATTTGTAGTGTAGACGAAAAATTTGTTGAAAACTATTTTATCTTATACGAATGTATATTTTATTGCTTTAATTTCATAAAAAAATATAATGTATTGGTTTTACCTTTTCTTCGTTCACTGAAAGTAAAAATAGGTCAAAATAAATTAAATACTTTAATTACCTACTATTTTTAATGAAACATTTTATTTCACATAACAAAATACAATTACAAAAAAAATGATACCACATTCTTCCTAAAATTTATTTTAGTGAATATTTAAATAAAAATCAACTAACTGTGGTTCAGCACATAACCAAAAATTGTCATCTCTCAATTTTCTCAAAGAACATTCCTAGTGGAGTCCAAACTATAAATAACAATATTTGGCTTTCGTTATAGCCAATTCGTGTACCTGATAATAATAATTATCTTTTTTTTTTTAATTTAATTTAATTTGTCCATCTGTATTGGCTAGATATTTAATTTTTTTTTCTTGAATTCCCATTTCTGGTGACAATTTGGAACAAGAATAAGAACATTTAATTTCAATTATTTCCTTATTATTAATAATACCGTCTGGACTTGCTTCCGAGTATGGATGTTTTTCATAAGCCGGCTACTCACTACGCGTTACTTGCCAAGTACTTTGCAAGTACCATGTAATGTGTATGGAGACTTGTATAGACTCAGCAAGTTACTTGTACTTCCCGTCGGTTGTCGGTAAACGGATTGAAGTCAAAGGATCCGAGTAAAGTTACTACTACTGCTTTAGAAGGCGCGCGTAATGTAGACGATTTACTTGTACTCGAACAAGTACTTGCCAAGTTCAGTCCAACTCAAGTAACTCGGCAAGTAACGCGTAGTGAGTAGCCGGCTTTAAATAAATAATCCACATTCTTGTACCGTTTCTCCATATTTATTTTTAAATTTTTCTATCGCAATAGATTCATGATCTTGTCTCCATTTTGTAGCGACTGATCCGTAAAAAGATGAAAATAATATATTATTAACAGTCTTTTTGGATCTGTTGTTTTGCGTAATTTGCAAACGGTTCCAAAATTTGACGCCGTGAGCATATTACTACGATGCTCTTTCCAAAGATCGTTACTGGTCTGACCTCTAGTAGATACTTCAATTTTACAAATATCATCTATTGATTTTGGTAAACTATCCAAAAATTGCAGATTATTTTGTTCCAAAACATCGTCATCATCATCGCGTTTTTTTAATTGAGGGCCCCTGGCTTTTCTACTACGTCTACGTTTGCTCATTTGAGTAACCGACTTTTGTGTGTGAATCTTAGGAACACTTTTTTACAGCTTTTTTAATATAGTTCTCTTTTTTGTTAAAAGAAATTGCTGCAGCTGTACATCGAACATTATATCCTCCTTTTACTGCAAAATTAATTCTCTTTCCTCCAACAAATTTGGCTATTATTGAATTATTTGGCTCTGCAACATTATTAGTCATGTTCATGGGCGTCGTTTAGGGGGGGCAAGGGGGGCAGATGCCCCCCCTCCCCCTGGATTTTACAATTTAATCAACAACGCGTAAGATATGCATTACGAACAACAATCTCATAGAAATAAATGTCAGGCTAATATAGTTGAAGAATATTATAGGTTGAATATATTTATTGCATATCTGGATTCCCTTATTACGTCGCTTACATCACGCTTTTCCGAAGACTCTAGTGTTAGTTTTTCCTTAAGCCTGTTACATCCAAAAACATAAAAAATAATACTTTTCACTGCCGATTAGAAAGTGAAATAGTGGAAAAATTTGGAAGCTGAATATCAAACGTGGATAGATAACTGGAATACGAAAGAGCTTTCTACACACAATGATATAGCGTCCAAACATTGCGAATTTTATCCAGACATACAAAAAGCTTTAAAAATATTTATGGCTCTTCCACCGAGTAGTGATGTGATCATTCGAATGGTAAATAATTCGAATATTCCATTATTACCATTATCCAAATTATTTCGATTATACCAATATCATTCGAATCATTTGAAATGTCTGAAATTGTAATAAATGAACGAGAGTCATATTTTAAAACTATGGCAGTACTCATTTCTCTCAAAATTTTCATGAGAAGCATCATACGTCAACGTGGAAATAGTATTTTTAAAACTAGTGAAAACTAACTGGTTTTCTCAGTTTTTTGGGAGAATTAATATACTCCTAAGAATTTTACTTCTTACTGGCTTTCAAAATACTGTTTTCACGCTGACATATGATATTTCTTATGAGACAAATCATTTGAAATCATTTGAAAATAGGTCACCAGGTGATTTGTTGAAATATGGAGCCAAAGCGATACTAGCATAAGCTGCGGATAATTCTAGTTCTCTAGGGCGATATTTTATCATTTTGACGTATCAAATACACCTATACATTTTACTTTTTCTTAAAAAATAGGTAAAAATAATAAAATAAGCCTTTGATTACTGTATATGGCTGAAATACAATATTGTGACTTATTGATAGGAAACCAGTTTAAATCATTAATTCCTATGGGTTTTTTCGAACTAAAAATGAAGAAAATATAAAAATCTAATCGCAAATATACCAATTATTTTTGTTAATACGTTTTGATTCTACGTTATTATATAATGGTAATGTTTTTTTGACATTATTTAACATTTTCTTTAATGACAACTTAATAGGCTTAGGCAACATCTCATACATATTTTCGTTAATACCTGCCTATGTTTTATTATTGATTTTTATTGATTTTACTACTTTTTTTAGCTGAAATAATAAAAATATATATAATACATTTTTTTCACTCATTTTACAAATCCATATACTCTTATTAAAATCAACATATATATTTTTAAATTATGAAGTCTATTAAAAATTGTATTGTCAGTATATACGCAAATATCGTCCGTTAGTTTATAAAATAGTTGGCACTGCTGTCATACACGGAGCGAATAATGAATGAAAATAGGCTGACTGGGCTATGGAGTGTACATCGAAAAATAATCAGAGGAAACAAAAAAAGAAATTATGTTTTTAGTTATCGATGTTTTTGGTAGAGAAAAAAAAATTGCGTTTTTCTAGTGTTTTTCTTTTTGTGTTCATCGACGTGTTTGAGTGAGTTTTTTTATGTTTTGTGTTTTTATAAATTTTTATTTTTTATTATTATGTATGGCTGTGTCTTCTTGTTTATATTTTTCTTTTATATCACACCTTATATGTTTGTTAAAAATGTGTTTTAAGTTTCTTGTTTTTTTTTTATTTTAGTTTTTGTCTTTTTGTTGGGTTATTTTATTTATTAGAGACTTGTATTGCTCTTTTATTTTTCATTTTCTTTGTTTTTCAACAAATAAACATTCTAAATTTTTTTCAAAATTTTGCCCCTTCCTATAGAATTGTGTAACGACGCCCATGGTCATGCTTAATAATAAACTGTGGCTGTTTTGAACCAGTCTACTACCAGCAGATACAATGTCATCCATTAGTCCGAATTCTTCCATTTCTGATAATCGCTGTCGTTTTGTTCTTTTTTTACAAAAGTATTGTGCACAGTTTAAATGATTTCCAAATGTGTGGTAAGGGTAAGTTTTTAATGTCTGCAGTTAATTGCTTCACGTTGTCAATAATATCACTGGGTATTTTTTCTGTGGTAATTTACAGCCGATTTAATTCCCACTCGTAACTTCAAAATCCTATCACTCAAAATTTTTTTTAGTCCTGGACTTACTATTTTGTTTTTTGAACTGTATTTTTTTTTTTTCGCAAGATCACGCAAATTTGTGCAATAATTCCTGAGAAGATGGTTTATGCATTCTACTTTGCGGGCCATTGTTTTTCCGTAGGGTCTCTCTAAGCAATTTTTTTGGTAAACATCTCCATCGCCAATAATTTTTACATATTTTAATTTGTGCATTTTTATACTATTGAGATCTAAAATTAAGATCGCAGCGCCGTCTGTACTTAACATTTAAACTAAATGTTGTGGCTTGTTATTGTTTACATTTTTGAGTTTGTAAACAAACAGCCCATAAAAAGTATTCAGTTTATATTGTGCTCTTTTAAGGAAAACATATTGTTGTTATGTTGTTGTTAATTTTTAGTAATTAGACACTTTTATTTCAATAGTTTTTAGGTTAAAGTTATATATACATTTTTATTTGGTAAGTAACCCCCTATATTGATTTTGTTTTTGAGTTACTTTCATTCATTTATGTTAATTTAAGATATTTGTGTTATATTTTAATAAAATATTAATATATTTATTCCATTTTTTAGTGAGATGTCTGAAAGTTTAATAGAATTTATGAAGTATATTGATGCAGATGAAAATTCCAGGACTGTTATTAAAGAAGAGGCTATTTTAAATGCTGGCCACATAGTTTTTATGTGGAAAGAATGAATTTAGTGATAAACACATCTGTTTATGCAGTTGTTCTTCAAACTAGTACATTGAATTCAGATCCCCATATTGTTGTAGGCCAGTTCTCATTCACAAGATATTAGAAATTGGTGAATGACAATGTTTGTTTTAAGCTGGGAACAGTGCAAACATATTTCAGGAGTCTTAATAAAGTGTTCTAGGTGTATGCTGTTTCAAATAATAAAAGAACTATCAAGCTAATTCAATTGAATACCTTATGATTTTGTTTTACACCCACATGTATATTATTTATTCTACGCACTGAATAAAGAACGAAAAAGTAGGCCATTTAACGAATATATTTATCCATTCTATGAAGAATACTGTACAGATATGAAATCCACCAAACACAGTTCATATTTGGTCACCAGGATACCATTATTTTTTTAAATTTTAAATGAGTGACGATTCTGTCAAATTAATTTTCAGTACATTTTTTAGTTATTGAGATTATATAATTACAAATGATTATTGTTATTTTATTTAACAAGATGTTTTAAAACAGATACAGAATAATTGTCCTTTTAAAATCATAAATTAACACAAGTAGGTACTATTTTCTTTGTTTGTTAGTTTTGATATAAAATTTACTTAGTAATAATTTTAATTTGTAGTTTGTACAATTTTTTCGTCTTAATACTTTTATAATATATTATTTAATTCATGATACTTATTATTTTACAAACAAATGTTGTATGACACTTCGCAAATGTTCTTATTCTCACCAGGGCCGCGAGAGCCAGGCCGGGCCCCAGGACAATTCTCCAGATCGGGCCCCGTGACAAAAAAAAGCTCCTCAAACAAAAACTTTTCCTCTTCTACTTGAATTGAATTTTCTAAAAAAAAAGCTCCTCAAGCAAAAAACTTTTCCTCTTAAAAAAAAAGTCCTCAAGCTAAAACTTTTCCTCGTCTACTCAAATTGAGTTTTCTAAAAAAAAACCTCCCTAACCAAAAACTTCCCCTCTTTCTTCTGTCGAATTTCTCATACAAAACAAAAAAATCCAGCTGCCAAGCCCCCCTTATACCGTTGCCGGGCCCCTCTTATACCGCTGCCGGGTCCCCATTTGAGTCTGGGCCCCGGGAATTAGTCCCGGCTACCCCCCCCCCTCTAGTCGGCCCTGATTCTCACTTTTTTAACGCACTGATGTTTGTAATGTTTGGACATTGTGTGAATAAATTATTATTAATAACATAAGTAATTCATGTGATCTCTTCTTTAATACAATAATTGAAAATGTACAGCTATAGTAACTCATTATTTCTAATTTTGAGAAAATCTAAGATAATATAGTATTCGTGGTATTTTATGGCCTAAAATGATTTACTATATTTGATGGTAGTATTTCTGTTTGCTTAACCTCTTCGTTTAGACATACGATACTTATTTAGATCAAAGCTTTTGGCAAATATATGTGCTGGATAACTGTAACTCAAAAACTCTCAAAAGTGAGTTACTATAGTCTTCGTTGCATGGGTCGAGCTGATTCTGTTGGTAAAAAGGCTATTATTATAAGCAATAAATAAAAATCAAATATTTTTTTTATTTTTCCTGTTAACAAAATATGCCAATCTTTACATAATAATAAACGTTCTTTGAGTTACAATACCCAATAGGCCATCTTGCGAAGTACTTCAGCAGATTTCACTGTATTTTCTAGTACAGTATGTTAAAGTTGTTAATGCCACTGAATGAACACAACTCTTTGTTAGATTTTAAAAGATCTGAAATTGTTTTAATTTTTGGAGTATGCACACAAATGTCAATACACTTGAAAAAGAGTATTTGCAATCGTCAAACATTTACTTAAAAACTGGCAGGAAGGCACAGCGATTTTTTTTAATATTTATTTTCACTTTGTA